GGAGACATTACTGTGCATATTTGATATGCCAAACAGTAAAAAGAAGTCTCACAATGGAGACATTTCTGGGCCTGCTCGAGCAAATCGATGAACAGTGGGAGGACAGTGACAGTGTCCTTTTATTTTTTATTATTTTTTATTTTTTTAATTTATTTTTATTTTTAAGCACTGAATCACCGTGATACAGTTACAAAGCTTTTATGATTGAATTTCAGTTATACAATGATCAAACATCCCTGCCTCCACCAGCGCACATTTCCCACCACCAATGTCCTCAGGATCCCTCCCCGCACCCACCCACCCCACTCCCTGCCTCTATGGCAGACAATTTCCTTCTTATTCTCTCTACTTTGGGGCATTATACCACTGGGTTTTGCTATAAACAAAAAACGAACAAAAAACAATAAACATGATCGTTTCGTGGGCTGCATAATTGCAAAGATAGAAGCCTAAGTGAGCGATACATTATGTTTATGCTACGTAGTGAAATCTCTCACAAATGAAAAATGCATTCTTTTGCCCAAATTTTATGAATCATACACTTGTTATGCAAATGATAACTAGTGTCAGATTAAGTCACTAGTCTACTATGATTTAACTATGCACAGTTACAATTCAAAACACTTCGAGGTCAGGAATGTGACTCAATAGTAATGCACTTTCTTTGCATATGTGAGGTCTAAGTTCAATTCCCAGCATCAAAAATATCATAATAAGCAATACGAATTATAATTCAAAACATTTTTTATCTTACACAAAGAAATGTAAGCTGTCATTAAATGGGGATGGTAAGAGCATACTAAGAACTTGCCTCAAATTCAATTACTTTAATACAGAACTTGGGAATAAATGAACAAAACTCTAAATAAACCAAATCACAGCCACAGCATACTATACTATTAATGTGAGACATAACGTAGTGCTAACACATTTGAAGTATAACTACACAACACAATAGCTAAAGATACATGTGCCCTGAGAATACATACCCACATTCTTTATATCTGTGCTACGGGAAAATTAGTACTTTGGAATCTGTGAATTTTTAGTTGCCAGTTTTATGCCTTTTTTAAATGTAAAGGTAAAGTCAAATCCTGTATATATGAAGAAATGGGCCTGAATTGCATCTTCAAATAATGTACTTCTGATTATATTTTTCTTGGTATTTTTTTAATTGCATCACCATGAGATAGAGTTACAAGGTTATTCATGATTGGGTTCTCTCTCTCTCTCTCTCTGTATATTTGTCTGTCTGTCTGTCTGTCTCTCTATCTCTATCTCTGTCTCTGCCTCTGTCTCTCTTTCTCTCTTTTGGGCATTATAGCTTGCAGTACAGATACTGAAGGGTTATAATGTATATTCCTTTACCTACTTCTAAGACCCAGGTTTTTTCCAGAGTGTTCATTTCTAACCACTATTGTCATACTAGTCTCTTCTCTATTCTAAATGCCTGTGACCCGCTCATACCACCCCCCACACATGTGGCAGCTTCTAACCATTGACCAGTCCTCCTGGCCCCTGTTTTCCTTGGCCTTGGATATTAGCGTCATACTATTTTTTTTTATCCCACAACTGAGTGCAGTCGTCTCGTGCTGGAAATTCTACAATACTGTAAATCTGAATTTCACTATTCAGTAGATAAGTTTCCTGGTATTTTAATAGTTTCTTCCATTTTTCTCTAGATTTTTATATAGATTACATAAAATAATTATGAAGTATCACTAACTTAATATTTTGTTACCATAAATATCAGGCCATTAAATACTACCTACAGGACACATAAAGACTTCACAATATCTTCTTATGATTATAACATATATAATTACATCTAATAGTAAAACATGCACCACCACCCACGGAATCGAGGCTGGAGCGATAGCACAGTGGTAAGGCATTTGCCTTGCATGCAGCCAACATGCCCGACCTGAGTTCGATTCCTCTGCTCCTCTCGGAGAGCCCAGCAAGCTACCAAGAGTATCTTGCCCGCACGGCAGAGCCTGGCAAGCTACCCGTGATGTATTCAATATGCCAAACACAGTAACAACAAAGTCTCCAATGGAGACGTTACTGGGCCCGCTCGAGTAAATTGATGAGCAACGGGAGGACAGTGACGGTGACAATAGTAAAACATTAGGTACTTTCTATGTTTGCCATTATCAATAATCCAGTAATTAATATTTTTGTATATAAATTTTGTCCCAGTTTGGGTTATCCTTCAGGAAATATTCTAGGAAAGAGAACTACAAATAAAATAGCATCTTAACATGTAAAGGTAAAGGCCCTCCCGTTGATCGTCGATTTGCTCGAGCGGGCCCAGTAACGTCTCCATTGGAGACTTTGTTGTTACTGTGTCTGGCATATCGAATACTCTCGGTAGCTTGCCGGGCTCTCCGAGAGGGGCGGAGGAATCGAACTCGGGTCGGCCATGTTGGCCGCTTATAAGGCGAACGCCCTACCCGCTGTGCTATCGCTCCAGCCCCATCTTAACATGTATTGCCAAATATCTTGAAAGAAAAGTTAAAACACCCAGTGATGCTCGGGGGTTAGTACTGGCTCTGCATTAAGGAATCATTCCTGGTGGTAATCAGAGAACCATATGAGATGCCAGCGATCAAACCAGGGTCAACCACACACAAGGCAAGTGCCTTACCCACTCTATAATCTCTTTGTCTCCTGATATTTTATTATTTTTAGTTGGGTATTTCCCGAGTTTATATTTAGCTAGTTCATTATATTTTCTACTTTGTAAAGTGCACATATGACCTTTGTTCACTGGTCTAGAGTCTTAACATTTTCCCTGCTAACATATATATAAGCTCTTTTTACATAAGCCATCTCATTTTTATTTAAAATTTTATTTATCATCTGTTTACAATATCTTATAACTTTTCAGAATATGGCTTCATGTCTGCATATGTTTGTTATAAGCTTCACCTTATCCACCACAAATATTAAAGATATGATTCCTTTATTTTTTTCTCCGACTTGAATGCTACTTTAATGAGAAAAAAAAAGAATATAACATATAGGAAAGGTATTGTCACAAACCTTTTACTTCTCCATACTGGTTTTGTCTCTGTTTCCAAACACTTTGATTTGGGGTTGTGTGTGTGTGTGTGTGTGTGTGTGTGTGTGTGTGTGTGTGTGTGTGTACACACGCGCGCATGTCTGGTGGGGCAGGGATGAGGAGTGGGCTACACCCAGCAGTGCTCAAGGAATAATTCTTGGCTCTGCACTCAGGAATCATTCCTGTCAGGGCTCAGGGGACCATATGGGATGCCAGGGATAGAACCCAGCTTGGCTGTGTGCAAGACAAGCACTTTACCCACTGTACTATCGTTCTGGCCCTGTTTCCAAAACTTTTGATGATGCTCATCTATTTATTCTTTCAAACAACTGAATGTTAATGTTCTCACTGAAAAAAAAAATTCACTGTGTTTTTTACTACAATTACATTTATAGATTTAATTTATAATTGATTTAGCTTTCCAGTCTGTTAAAAGGTCATTTCCTCTTTTTTTGAGATTTCTGACTCAGTTATCTTTAGGTTTACATTTCAACACATTGTAAATACAAAAAACAATTTATCTACTATTATCTTCTTGAATCCTCTCACTGGTACAATCAGATGGCCGGGGGACCTGAAGGTTAGATTTACTTGGACTGTACGTCCAGGCTAACTTTCCCAATCACAAACTACATTTTTCAAAGGTACATCCTCGTGGCTTCTTCCTCCAGCAGAGTGGGTTTCTTACATTTTGTTCAGGGCTTCAAGAATTGAAAGCACTCTTCTAAATGCCAGACCTAAAACTGACACGTGATCACTTTTCTCATGTTCTACTAATCAAATCAGTCAGCTGATAATCCAGGTTCTAAAGATAGAGGACTACTCACTTCTTACTGAGAAAATGGCCTGTGCAAACAGGGCAGTCAGTCATTTTCAGAAACTATGTACTAATACCTCAGTAGAACTTTCCATACTGAAATATAGGGGACAGAGCAATAGATCAGTGGGTAGTGTGCTTGCCTTGCATGCCTTCGACCCTGGTTCAATCCCTGGCACCTCATATTAGTTCCAAGAACACCAACCAGGAATGATCCCCGAGTGCAGAGTCAAGAGTAAGCCCTAACACTGCCAGGTGTAGCCCAACACACACACACACACACACACACACACACACACAAATTTAAATATATTTGTATACATATTTAACATATATGTTGCTATAGAAGTTTGTACGTTTTAATTTTTGTCTTAATTTCTTCTGTTTTATGTAGCTTAATAAACACTGTAGATATGAACTTAGATTTAGTCTTTGATAAATTTATTTTGTATTCAATTTTCTCACTTAATGGCTTTGTTCATTCCAATTGCTTCGTTTTTCCTGAAAGTTCTCCTAAATTAAATATTTAATTTTCCTAAAAAGAAAGATACTATTATAAAAATAAAAGATGATTCAATCCTCAGTACATATGGTCCCCTGAGCCCTGCCAGGAAGAGTATTTGAGAACAGAGCCAGGAGTCAGTCCTGAGTACTACTGGATGTGGACCCAAACTAATAAAAAAAAATTGTATGATAATAAAATATATACTGTCTTTATCAGATGGTTAATGTCTACAAATAAATATAAAATAGCAGCAATCTGAGCAATTTTTCCTTTCTTTCCACGGTCACGGTCACAGTCCTCCCATTATTCATCGATTTGCTCGAGCGGGCCCAATAACATCTCCATCGTGAGACTTGTTGTTACTGTGTTTGGCATATTGAGTACCTCACGGGTAGCTTGCCATGCGGGCAAGATACTCTCGGTAGCTTGCTGAGCTCTCCAAAAGGGGTGGAGGAATCGAACTTGGGTCGGCCATGTTGGTTGCGTGCAAGGCAAACGCCCTATCCACTGTGCTATCGCTCCAGCCAAGTTTGGCTATTTATACTAGATGTGAAAAAAACTCATTTGAAGCACATGAATAGACTCGGGAATCTCAACCCTCTCTTACTTACGTGTGGCTGGTAATTATATGGCGCAGCATATTCTTCAGCATATGTTGTCAAATTACACCTAAGAAGAAAATATCAACAACTGAGAAAAGAGCAACTCCAAAAAGAAAGATATTTCTTAAAACTTAGTGGTGTATTCCTAATATAAAATAAATAAAAAGAGGAATTTCTTAAAATTCAGTGGTATATTCCTAATATAAAATAAAAGCATTTCAGGACCTGAGCAATGGTACAATGGGTAAAGTATTTGTCCTGCATATTGTAGACCAAAGTTCAACCCTGGCACCCCATATGGTCCCCTGAACACAGCCAGAAATAGTCCCTGAGCACAGAGTCAGGAGTAAGATCTTAGCACAACCAAGTGTGGTCCAAAAATGAAAAAACAAAATAAAACATAGCACTGTAGCACTGTCCTCCAGTTGTTCATCAATTTGTTTGAGCAGGCCCAATAACGTCTCCTTCGACTTGTTGTTACTGTGTTTGGCATATCGAATGCATCAAGGGTAGCTTTGCTGTGTGGGCAAGATACTCTTGGTAGCTTGCCAGGCTCTCTGAGAGAGGTGGAGGAATTGAACTTGGGTCGGCCAGGTAGGCCGCAAGCAAGGCAAATGCCCTACCCACTGTGCTATCGCTCCAGCCCAAAATAAAACATAAAATATTTTAAAATAAAATAAGGTGTTTCAAGGAGAATTAGCTCTATTTTTAAAAATAAACAAGTAAATAAATAAACCCACTACTATGCCAGGTCTTTTATTTATACTAGAATGGCACACTATGGTACAACAGGTCATATGTGCTTCCCTCAGTTAGTGCCAATTCACAGTACCCACTGCTCGCCTGTACTAGAGATACGATATGATACCAAAGCCCCAAGTCTCTGAATTCAGGGGTAGGAGACCCTAAACATTTCTGATTTAGGGGATTCTCTTTCATGCCTCATTCTAGACTCTCAATTTTTATACCCCATGCCACATGTACTTTGCTGATCACAAATAAAAAGTAATAAAAGACAACCAGATGGACTGAGATTATTGGCTTCCCAACTGCCTTCCTATTAGATAACCCAGAAACTTTGGATGAGATGCGTATTTCTTCCCTAGACTATACATCTATCCAAGCACACCAGGAAAACTCCAGAAGATTAGAAATGAAAAATATTCTTTTGTCTGGGAGGCCATAAATGAAGTTCCTAAGGTTGAAGTTTGAACTGAACAAGGGTAAGAGACAAGTCTTGGGTTCACCTGAGGCAAAGAACTCAAATCCTATTTAAAGTCTGATTCTCTAACTCTTAGAATTAGAGAAATTCCAGCCATTAACCTAGAAAAACCTAAAAAAAAAAAAACCTTCTTTATGGAGTCAGGATGGGGGGGGGGAAGGGGAATTATTCTCCTATGAGAAATTAAATTGCACTTCTGTTCCTAGCAATGATAGGACTCAGATAATTAAAGAAAATTCCCTGAAAACAGCATAGCTAAACATTGGGTAAAAGTAAATTTAAATATTTAAAATATTTAAGGGCTGGAGCAATAGCACAGTGGTAGGGCGTTTGCCTTGCACACAGCCAACATGGCCGACCCGAGTTCGATTCCTCCACCCCTCTCGGAGAGCCCAGCAAGCTATCGAGAGTATCTCGCCCGCACGGCAGAGCCTGGCAAGCTCCCCGTGACGTATTCGATATGCCAGACACAGTAACAACAAAGTCTCCAATGGAGACGTTACTGGGCCCGCTCGAGCAAATCGATGAACAACGGGAGGGCCTTTACCTTTACCTTTACCTTAAAATATTTAAAGCATATCTAAACTTCTGGGAAAGTAAGAATTCAATAGTAACAGCAACAGCTAAATCTTCTAAGAAGAAGAAAGTCCAGCTCAGAATTTGGATACAAGTGCTATTTTGCTGATGGTAAACACCAGTTCCTGATGAACTGTTGAGTTGTGGTTTTCCTGAGTAGATGCATTAGTATCAGCTGGGAATTTGTTAAATGCAAATACTTGGTTCCTACGTAAGTATTGGTTTATATCTCTATTGGTCTCTAATTCTATTCAGCAGAAACTCTGGTGGGTGTGGTGGGAGGAGAAGGTGGCAGACACACTTGGAATCTGTGTTCAGTAGATTATGAAGTACATTAAAACTTGAACACTGGCAAATAAAAGAACAAAAATTAGATTTCTGGATTTTCAAACCAGAATCTACAATTTTTTTTTGAAGACCATTGCAGGTGTGACTTTAATGAATTTCTTATTGTGCATCAACCTCATGTTAAGTGAAATGAGTCAGAAAGAAAGGGATAGACATAGAAAGATTGCATTCATCTGGGGAACATAAAGTAACAAAATAGGAGACTAACACCCAAGAAGGGCCGAGATTAGTACCAGGAATTTCACTCCTTGGCTTGGAGGCCAACCACACATGCTAGGGGAAAAGGGAGCTCAGACAGAGAAGGGAGCACCAAATAAAGGGTGTTGGGAGGATCCTCCAAGGATGGGAGAAGCACGCTGAAAGTAGACTATAGACCAAACATGATTGTCATCCATTGCCTCTTTTGCAAACCACAACACCCAATAAGAATCTACAACTTTTAAAAAAGAAGACCATACATACATTTTCCAAAGTCATAGTTTAACAACAAAACAAATAAAGTCACACAATTTCCCATGCATTTAGTGCAAGAGAAGATCAAGAATATTGCAAACTTTGATTGGTTTGTGGGAAATCAAAGTGACAAGCAATCAGGAATCAGAAGAGCCAAACCCAGAGTCTACACTGAAAGAAAATCAAGTAGGGACTCAGACTTCTTAAGAGAGGAGAGGGTAGCAAGAAACCAGAGGACAGGGCCACCAGAGTCCTGCCTTGAAGGAAATACTGAGAACGGATTCAATACTAGAGCATTTGAACACTGGTTTCCCACAAAGACTCTTAGAAATCGGTATCCATGATACAAAACAATATGGGGATTGCTACCCCCACCCCAAATAGGACTTACGATCCAGTGATTCTACTCATTAGTATTATCAAAGGATTTTGCAGGTTTGCCCCCTTCCTCATCCACATCCTCCCCTCCCCCCCCCCCCCGCCTTATCCCCTGCTCCAGCCTCTGCAAAATAAAAAATCTAAAAATAAGATAAAAATAAAAAATCTATACTGTAAGGTATAGGAAAAGCAATAGACTGGCCTGAGGGTTATAGTTTGGAGGGTGTGAGCCTCTCTCTGGAGAAACTGCCTCTTGTCTCTTAATGGCTCTGATGGAACCCTGAAAAATGCATTTTCACTGAGAAGGAGCCCTGGCCCTGGCTGGACAGTGCCCACTAGTGGAGGCTGTGCAGTAGAGCCCATCTCAACCTCCATTTTCCTTAGTCTGAATTATCATACTAAAAAATTAACCTCAGGCTTGTCTTGGTACTCTTATATTAACCTACCAAGACACCTCCTAGGGGCAGTTGGTAGCTATTCATTTCGAGGTGTGTGTCTCAGTTGTACCTTTAACGCGAAACATATTTGTAAATTGTAAAGTCAAGACATTCAACTCACTCATGGACATCAACCCTGCATTTCTAAAGGAAGTCTTCTGATAACTTTAGTTTGTTAACTTGTTTAGTTCGCTCTATTTTAAGAATGCAATGCAGCTCCTCATGTTTGAATGCAATTTTATTTAGACTCTGCGTTGGTCACTCTGCAAACAGGCACAATCTTACACAACTTTGCACTGTCCTTTCCCTGACATAATCAAATATTTTCAACACTTCCTAGGCAACAATCCAAAATATTTTATCAATATTAAAATTTATTGTTTGGTTTGGGGAAGCCACACCTGGACGTACTTAGGACTTACTCCTGACTCTGTACTCCTAAAGGGCTGAGAGGACCGTATGTGGGACCTGGGATCAAACCTGGGTCAGCTTCATGCAAGACAAGTGCCCTATCCCCTGTAATATTTCTCTAGCCCTGAATATTACGAGTGCCAGCACCTTCTCTGTATAAGTAATTCATTCCAGCGCCAGCTCCTGTTGATTCTCTGTTGTACCAACTAAGGAGATGAGATGTCTAATAAATATTTGTTGGTTGAATATATATATATGCATACATACATACATATACACACATACCCCATGGTGTCCCTCCACCATTCTGTCCATACAATATTGTGTTCTTTGTATGTTCCTCAATTATGCATTCATTGCTCTCCCTTATGGACATATCTGAGCCTCCTGAAAAACTACTATATTATATCAGGTATTACATTGCTTTATTTGCTGGGCATAACACCAGACCTCCTTCTCCCCTCTCTTTGAAACTGGTCTCCAGTGAGTACTAGTGGTATCCTTCCCAGCTTAAGTGGTTGCTTTACCAGTAAAGCTCATGTGCTTTTTCAAAGACAGTATTATCCTAAAAACACAAAACCACTAATTCGGAAAGATGCATGTACACCTATGCTCATAACAGTATTATTTACAGTAGCAGCCAGGATCTGTAAACAATCCAAGTACCAGTAACAGATGATGGATCAAGAAATCGTAGAGTCCACAGTGGATTGCTACTCAGTTATAAGAGAATATAAAATTCTGCATTTGATGGGAGGAGCTGCTTTCGACCTCATCCCAGCAATATAAAGAAACAAAGGGAATAGACAATGGCTAACGAAAACAAATTATTTTAGATTCTGATAACATAACTGAGTTTAGAAAGGAGGGAGCTGATGTGAGATGAGGAGAGAGAGAGAGAGGCAGAGGGCGGGTAAGCTGGGCCTGCGGATAGAGGTGCAGGGATGTTGGCACTTCGATAACAGCTGCAGTGCATCAGCATTATGTCCAAAAGCATGAATGCTAATATTATTTTAAAAACCTGTTACCTTAATTAGAAAAAATAATAAAGTTTGCAAAACCAGAGGGGAGTCCTAGGAAGGCGCTACAGGTTGAGAAAAACAACAAATCAGAGTATCTCAAAAAGAAAGAAAGTCAAAAAAAGAAATCAAGCCCAGAAACTCAGGCTCCTAGAACTAAAACAGTCTCACCCACTTGAAATAATGTTTACTGTTCTAACAGAAGAGGGCACGCTTGAGCTAA